CATGATGGTTAATGACACGACAATTTTGTAATACTCATAGTGCTAATATAGTCGGAACCAGTGATACACAATAGAAGGAATATAGTAAAGTACAAAAAAGGAAGCCAATGTTAATATTTCAGGTAGCTAAGTAGTTTGAAGAAGGAGTTCACTAAAGAATACGAAATAAGAGAGAAATAAAAGAGTATGAAATTATGTTGTTAATAACAAAGCAAGTCACAGGTTTCACGCCTAACATTGTCTCTGTCGCTTAGAACACGGGCCAAGTATGGTATCGTTGAGTTCCTGTACTTGGTTGTACGAGCATAGATTCTTTTATACTGATTTCTGGTTTTACTTGATGAGATACAAGGAGAGAGTTGGGAATAGAGGGGGTGTTGGGGGTCTGAGAGTATGGTTTTAGACCATTTTTCACATGTATTCAGATGCCTATCAACTAAAGTAGTCACGAGCTGACTGAGATTAACACCACTAGTCCTACTAACTACCTTCAACATCCTTCTCAGGATGGCATAGTCCTTTTTCAGTAGACCAGGAAAGACTAACGGGGAGCAGTAAAGTAGAATAGGTAGGATACAAGAGTTGACAAATTGTGAAAGTAGAGGTTGGGTGATTCCGGATTGTCTAAGTTTCTTAATGTAGTAGGTAAGACAGAACACTTTCCTAGAAATCATTAGGATATGAGATGTCCAAGTAAGGTCAGAAGATAGAACTAGACCGAGGTATTTTGCATTAGACTTAGTTTCAATTTTAGTCCCCTCAATGCAACAGTCTTCATGAGAACTTACTAGTGTTTGTAGATCTCGTTTATGCCTAAGGGAGAAGTCGACAGTCTGGCATTTTGAGGGATTCAGCATGAGACCATTTAGTTTGGACCACTCACTGATGTCCGACAGGAAGCTATTTAATTTGAGACAGTCTGACTGAGACTTAATGGAAAACGATACAGACAGGTCATCTGCATATTTGACGAAGTTGACTTCATCTGAGAGAGGTAAATCATGTAAGAAGAAGGAAAAGAGAAACGGAGAAAGAACAGCACCCTGAGGAACTCCAGCTTCAGTAAGCAATGGAGAGGAAGATGCACCTTTATATACCGTGTACTGCATCCTATTAGAGAAGTAAGAGTGCAGCCAGTTGATAACCCAGGGCTCAGTTTGTGCTAGGCTAAGCTTGTTTAACAATAGGCCTCTAGGTACAGAGTCGAAAGCAGATGTATAGTCAAGGAACGTACAACGGACAAACTTGGCCCCTTTGTCTAAGGAGGATACAATGTTGTGATGAAACACAGCAGCAGCGTCCAAAGCACTTTTACCCTGTTTGTAAGCAAACTGTATAGTAGTATAGACAGTATAGACGTGATATCCGACTGACTGATTAATTTCATATACATCCGCATGTTTATCGATTACAAAATGATCTGAGAACTAAGCTTCATGGAATTCTCCAGCATTCTGAGTGTATTCCCACAGTTTATGATTCTTACATTTCTGCAGTCAAACTGACGTTCATAGTTATATCTATGTGCACTGATATGAGAGAATGTATGTCATAATGTGTGAATGTTTGTTTGTGTTCTTGTATATGAAGATGAAGACAATGTCTACTTTGTTCATTAATATTGAGTGAAGTAACTGTGTTTCAGTAGTCATGTAGTGGTATGACAATTTCCCTTGCCAATTCACAGGCTGATTTTGTGTTATTCTGTTACTTACAGAAAAGACATTTTTTTTTGATAAATAGAAGGGGAAAATCTTATGATTGTTTTACTGGAGAATAAATATTCAGAATTAGATATTCTGAGAGAAATATTCATCCAGAATGGTTACCCAATAAGATTTATCGACAAAAATATGAAACCAATAATTCGGAAAAACGAAACTTTGACTGCGCCTAAAAAGAAAATCTACATGAACTTGGATTTCAAGGGAGACTTAGCAAGCGATATTCTCAAGAGAAGGATCACATCATCTCTGAGAAGAACATTCTTTGCAGCAACGCTAAGAATAGTGTTCTCCAGTCGCCCACTAATCTGCAGAAGCCTCAAGGACAAGATCCCGCATCTGGCCACTTCTATGTGCATATACCAGTTCACCTGCTGCTGTGGAGCCAGGTACATCGGTCGTTCGATGCGCATCCTGTCCAAGAGGATTCAAGAACACTATCCAGCATGGTTGCGAAAAGGCAATACTGGTGCAATAAGGAGTGCGATAATTGAACACCTGGTCAGCACTGATCATTGCATTTCAACGAACGCCTCCTTCAAAGTAATCTACCGAGTCAAGAACAACATGTCAAAGGCAATACGGTTTCGTCTCCTTTGTATCGCTGTATCGCTCTAGCCATTCACATGGAAAAACCGGAGCTGTGCATACAAAAGAAGATTACTCAACCACTTCTACTCTCATGGTAACAATGTTTTGATTTTTATTTTATTTTGATAACTTAATTTTGTTTCTTTGCCTGTTCCTTAGTTGCTTATAATTCTTGTATTCACTTAGATCTCTTACATAGTTTCGTATTATCTACTTTGTTTCTATGTGCATCATGAGTAAAACTCACTATTATTATTACAACTGTTTGTGACAACTCATCACCTTTGTTACTACCCTAGTTTCACTAACACTTAATTTTCTTGACCTGTATTACCAACCTTCACTTGTTTAGTTAAAATTAACCTTAACTAATTGTAACTTTGTTTGACAAACTTAATATACACACACATACAAAACAATGCATATATATTTGCGATTGTACAGCTAAGAAGGTGAATTCGCCGAAAAGAGACTCTTCGCTGATCTACGTGTTTAGTTTTCATGAATAAATATTCCACACAAAAACACCTTTGATACAAGTGAGGCATGAATTCATCTGAACTATTGTTGTCGGTGTTGAGTTGTACAACAACGAAATTTTCAACCATTCGTCCTGGACATTACAAAAACTTGATTATACAGAGTGTCTGTACACAAATCGATTCTACTTACATAAACAGTATTAAAAACATATTATTATAGTGTATCAGTTCAGTGTGATCAACATTTTAATAGATGTGTAAAACTTGGGCACTGTGTTAGTGAGTAATTCCATATTAGTTTGTTTATTAGATGTATCACACAGTGAAACAGTATTACTGTTTACTGGATGACAAGGTTTCCAACACAACTTATTATTGTTCATAATCATATCATCGATTACAATCACACGACTTCGGAACTTGACTTTTATAGTTCTCTTTGTTATCTCCTATTTGTCGTCGTAGGCGTGGTAGTAGAATTTTCCAGATATCTGGGACAGGGACAGGTGTTGAATCACTCCTATTACACGTATTTGCAGTTGGTTGATTCGACAAATAAAGCCTCAGTCAGTTATCAATCTCTCCCTACACCATGCCACAACATTAGATTTTAAAACTGTCATCCTATTGTATGGTTATGTGTGATTGCATGTAGTGAGTGCTATCTCCGAATGAACTACTCTCTAGATTTCTTATCTTATTCGGGTCAACTAATCTAGATTTTGCTGCTAGGTTTTTATGCTCGATTAGTCTGATTGCACCTGTTCTACTACTCTGACCTATGTATTTGACTTGACAATCATTTCAGACAGGGTATTAGATAAACTAAATTGTTTTGTTTAATGTGCTGTTGTTCCACAGGATTGATCCTTTAACCGAAAAAGCATGTTTCTAATTGAGTTTGTGGGTGGTTTGAATGTCAGCCACTAATCTTAACAAGGCAAGGCAGGAATAAAAGTGGCTGACATTCCAAACCCACCCACAAAACTCCAATTAGAAACATGCTTTTTCGGGTTAAAGGATCAATCCTGTCCTGGAAACAACAGCACATTAAACAAACAATTTAGTTTATCTAATACCTTGTCCTGGAATGATCTGTACAAGTCAAATACATAGGTCAAGCAGTAGTAGAAACAAGGTCTCAAGGAGACTAATCGAGCATAAAAACCTAGCAGCAAAATCTAGATTGGTTGAACCGAATAAGATAAGAAATCTAGAGAATAGTTCAGCCGTAGATAGCACTCACTACATGCAATTACACACAACCATACAATAGGATGGATGGGATAAGATGACAGTTTTAAAATCTAATGTCACAGCTGGGCTTAGGGAGAGACTGATAACTGACTGAGGCTTTATTTATCGAATCAATCAACTGCAAATCACGTGTAATAGGAATGATTCAACACCTGTCCCTGTCCCAGATATCTGGAAAATTCTACTACCACGCCTACGACGATGAATAGGAAAGAATGAATACAACTATAAAACTCAAGTTTCGAAATCGTGTGATTATAATTGATGAAATGATTATGAACAATAGTAAATTGTGTTCGAAACCTTGTCAACTAGTAAACAGTAATACTGTTTCACTGACTGTGTAATACACCTAATAAACAAATTACAAATATGGTATGATCAGCATTTTATTATCAATCCATTGTCATCCCGGTTAATATTCGGGTATACAGTTAGAAGAGAGAGAAAAAAATCCACATTACAAAGCCTACTTCACCTAAAATCAATGAAGCTTTGTGATTCTATGGCCTCATCAAGCTTCACACATAAAACTATTCTCATACGAGGATTGAATCCCATATATTAAAAGCGATGTTATAAAAAAATAATAATAAAGAGTAGATTGATAGACTGAATACCTAAACGCCTATTGCATAGTGTTAATTACTTCAAAAAATATGATTTTATTATTCCTTCACGTTCCCAGTGGAACATAGGGCTTCAAGCTGGAGGCTTGAAGTTGCTGTAGCAGTGTTTATCTTTACAGGATGGGGTTGCTAGCCTCATGCCCAACCTTCCCTCTTTACCAGTCTTATTACTGGCTTAGCGAGGTAAAGGAGTGCGTCTGTGGTCGGGGATCGAACCGCGGACCATATGCATGGTCAGCGAGCGTTCTAACCGCTATACCACCGACGCACAAAAAAATATGATTACTACACTAAAACAATAAAAAATCGAAACTCACCTTTGCATTAACAGTTCTGCAACAGCATCACTTGATGGTTGTTCAACAGAAGCTGTTGCCATTGGATCGTCAGAAGACAATCCACTGCAACATCGGTTAGACTGTGTTTGTTGTTGTTGCTGCTGTGCTGTTGATGATGATGATCACGATTGTGCATGTGAGGATGATGATGATGGTGTTGGTGGTGCTGATGGTGGTGGTGGTGGTGCTGCTGGTAATTACGGCATTCCTGTAAACAAAAGCATGACTTCTCTGTACTTTCATTTCTATAACTTGGCATAACTACTGAATGTTTCCCCGGAAATGTTGACGATGAGAATGGCAATGATAAGGATGATACGGAGCAGGAGGAGGAAGAGGCGGAGGAGAAAGCAGAAGATGAACACGCTACTGATGCAGATAACGCTGATGCTGACAACAAAAATGAGGCTTGAGACGATAACGATGAAATATTATTATTATTATTAGCAACTGGAGCTGAAATATGCCGTTTTCTCTCCGGTTCCATGCATAATGAACAGAATTGATTTCGACAGGAGGCGGAGGAGGCGGAGGAGGAGTGTTTTTCAGATGAATCAGACTGTTCATGACTTGTTGCAAAGAAACTCTTATAATGATGACTATTAGGATAAGTATTATTATTATTACTACTACTATTAATGTTAGGCGTTTGATAACTATGTTGCTGATTAGGCATAGCACTACCATCATCACCTAGCCTATTATTATTATTATTACTATTACTACTACTCAACATTATCTCTGATCCATTAAAGAAGTGACCAGTTTCCACTCTGTCTGAACACGAATCAACAGCACGATGATTTGATGACATCATTTGATAGATTGTTGGTTGTTGAAGATGATGATGGTGAGGATGACGATGAGAATGAAGGTGTTCATCGTTGTCCTGTTGTTGTTGTTGTCTTTGTAATAGTGATGATAATGGAGATGATGCTTTGTAATTTAATCGATTTGAAGTTAAATTAAGAAAGTTATTTGTACTTATTGAATTATTTTCAGAATTATTATTAAAATTAGAAATTGATATAGTAGTGCTAGGAGTATTATTATTATTAGTATTATTTTTACTTATTGATGATGAGTGAATGAAACTCGATGACGATGATGATGATAATGACGATGCTGGTGTCATATTCATAAGAGGACAACAATTTTGACTTAGTATTGTTGATGTTGTACAACACGTGGAAGGTGTTGTTATCATCTTGGCGTTGTTGTTGTTGTTGGGCATTGAAGGTACATTGAATCGACTCATTGAATGATGCATAAAATTCATACTTGCTAGAGGATTTAAACTTGTAGACTGATGATGTTGTGAATATTGTGAACAGGTGTGTAATAATGATTCTGATATTCGACGAGAATTTAAATTATTACAATTATTATTATTATTATTGTTATTATTATTGTTATTATTATCATAACTGTTCAAACGATTATTACTGACTTGATCGTGATGTTGACGAAGATCATGCTGATAGGATAAACCACCCGATGGGATATCTAAATATGAATGTTGTAGGAAAAAAGTTAATCAAATGGAGAAATTAAATAAAGGAAAATCTAATGAAAAAGAAAATGATAGAACAGCAAATTTTCAAGTATTGGTTTTTGTAGGCACTTTTTTTTGTTCGATTGGTTGGAGGATTTCATCATGAGCTGGCAACCATTGTTAAACCTGGGAGTACTGGACAGCTGTTTCGTCCTCGTTTTGGGACTCGGCTGCGTATTGCTGCTGGTCTACGAGCTCGTCAGAAGATTCTGGGTTTGAACCCCGGTGGGTGCGTACTGTCGAAGAGTCCCAAACTAGGCTGACGAAACAGTTGGCTGTCCAGTACTCCCTGTGACTGGTTTTCCAATACTTCTCTAACTGATGTTAGCTCACGATGAAATCCTCCAGAACAGTAAATCCAAATGGTAACTACATTGACGCTTCGTGGTGGTATGTGCTACTGAAGAGTCCTCAACTGGGATATATCGGCTATCCAGTGCTCCCAAGTTTTCAATGATTCTCCAAACTGATGGTAAATTGTGACAAAATTAGGGACGCTGGAGGGGGAGGGGGATGGCTGGGTGGAGAATAATTACAAAGCCCCCCCCCCGGTTTTTACAGAATTTTCTCCCAATCTTAACGTTGTTTTCTAAAATGCTCATGAAACTGGAAAAATCTTTGATTTGCTTCTGTATAAAAATGCTCTATTTCTCTGCCGTATACATCAATTTTAAAACATTTAAAACAATTAGTTCCCTTTATGAATTTAGACAAAGGAAATACTAAGACGTAATTTGTCTGAATCGTATAATGTATTTCCGCGGACAACACATTTCGAACAATCTGATCACACACACACACGGACTTTACATAGGAATATATACATGAAATTAATAAAGAGCTAAGAGGTGAGAAAATAAATTTAGGTCAAGTTACATTGAAGGTGAAAATAAAAATGAAGATCACCACACCAAATAGTATCAAAACAAAGTTTACCAAAGAAGGTTTAGTGTGATGACGAATTGTTGCTTTGATCGCATAAAGGTGGTTTAAACTTCCTAATTGCTAGCTAGGGTTTCCACAAACTTTAGGATGCGACCCAAACACGTTTTAGTACTTTTGTTTTATATAGCATCTGAGTGTTTATCATACATTTTATTTTATTATTGTGGACCATGTTAGTTGTAAAGTGATTGATTGTAGAGAAACTACGAAATCATGCTATCATCTCGCGAAATTTGTCTTCTAAATGCCTTATTCAAAGCTATTTAATATGTGTATACAGTTTAGATTCTTTAACCAATCACTGAGCGTGTGATTTTGGCTAATATTAAACGACATGAAATAGAATGTTCAAATACAAATAGCATTCTGTCGCTAATGCACTCACTATTGAACTGTGGGAATAGTATTCAGACGTCAACACCAACATATTATTACAATGATTCTTATTGTGAAAATAATATTCCGTTGGAACCCGTTGTCTGTATCAGACCACCCCACAAAATGACTAATTCACAGTAAAACGCGTTGATTCTTACGTGCATCAGTTGCACAGTGGTAGAATGCTCGCCAACCACGCCTCGTTGTGGTCCAGGGTTCGATACCCGGCCACAGACTCACTCCTTTACCTCGCGCTAAGCCAGTATATAATAAGTCTGGTAAAGGGGGAAATAAACACCAACTAACTCTCTCGAAACTTCAAGCTTCACACTTGAAGCCCCCTATGTTCCACCTGGGAACGTAAAGGAATGAAAAGAAGAAAAAACAAGATTTCTCTTCCGCTTATTCTAAACTCTCTGAAGACTCGCCTTTCTATAAGATACCACTGACGATGATGCAAACATTTCTTTTTACTATAGCTTGATTCCACACCGTATCAATGCGTCGGTGGCATAGCGGTTAGGACACTCGCCGACCATGCATATGGTCCGGGGTTCGATCCCCGGCCACAGACGCACTCCTTTACCTCGCTGAGCCAGAAATAATGCTGGTAAAGAGGAAATGTTGGGCATGAGGCTAGCAACCCCATCCTGTAAAATAAACACTGCTGCAGAAACTTCAAGCCTCTAGCTTGGAGCCCTATGTTCCACGTGAAGGACAAAAACCCGTATTTTTGGTACAAGTGTGGAATTTTCAGCATGTGATATCTGTAGCCCAAATTTCGCAAGCCGACCATTGATATCAGGTGTGCGTCGGCAGGGGATCGAACTCCGGACCATGCGCATGGTCGCCGAGAGTCCTAACCACTGTGCCACATATGTAATTCCGGATTAATGATAAGTAAATATTTGACTGCCAAAAAAAGCATGTGGAATTTTCAAATCAGCTGATGTTTGTATACTTGATTTACTGCAAGTGTGCATAGTTGTTTGCGTGTGTGTGTGTGCGTATTTGTAGTTGTCCTGTTGTTTACTCAAAGATTTTAAGCCTTTGTTTGTTAACAAAATAAACACAAAATATTCCTTCTATGTAGTTCTTTTGTTTACCACGGCCTACAGACTATTTTTGTGGAAATAAGTAAGATGAGGTTGGAAAAGTAAAACAAAACAAGACCGAAAGGTGATGGGCTTTCATTCACCGTCTAGACAACAGTATCATCAAGTATTTTTAGCCTCAGAGACAAGTTGACCGATCATATTTCTGATCATTAAAATATGCTAATAAAAAGTTAATAGTTGAAAACAATGCTCGAGAACATCTCCCAGTACGGTTGAGTAAAGGTGTGTATAGTGAAAACCGTCAACAGTTCGATATTAGACCATCTGGTCCGAACCGGCTGGCCACAAAGCCAGCCAGCATTGACCAATCCTCCTCTATCATCGACTGGGTACCAAATAAATTGCCAACATCATCGAAGTACTGCATGCTTCGAACAGCAGAGGCTATTGCAATTCGCCTCAAACAACCAGTGCTCTGTGTTCAAAAGAAACAAGTCCAGCTAGCCACTACTACTGCCCTGGTCGGCCTTCAGTAGAAACTATAAACTCATGAATTTGTATTATTATCTTTCCTAATTTGTCAGACATTCAGTTTATTGTTATGTTGATGCTATTGAACTGTAATCCATTGATAGTATTGATTCGATGTCATTTGAACAGCGTTAATGTTGTTAATAACACTAATTCATTCATTCACTATAATGTATATATAACTGTAAAGCCTGATGATGAAGGAGTTATCGAAAAGAGTATTCTTTGTTCAGTAAACATTCTTTTGAAAACAGTAATGTCAGTAGTTCACTTTGGATGAAAGTTTGCTTGAGATGAGAATGAAAGCTTCATGATTAAATCAATCGTTTTTCTTTTGTGAAGAAAGTCGACCGATAGCCTCTCACCCCATGATGAGTTCTCTTCCTGTATTATCTGCTCCTATTTCGGCTGGCATTCATATCGCCCATGAGGATTTTGATGTCACCATTTAGGATATTGTCTATTACTGTTTGCAGTTGTCTATAAAAATCTTTTTTCTTCTTCTCTTGTTCTGAGTTGTTTGTAGGTGCATAGCATTGGATAATTGTAACCTTCCTTCGTTTTTTCCTTTTGAGTTGAATTTTGCTGTCATAATCCTGAATGAAACTGGTTCCCACAGCATAAGAGTTTTGGCTACAGTGTTGACGGCATCATGATAGTCACTCACTACCTCAGTATGCTCGTGATTGTCGTCTGGGTGACCAGACAGCAGTAGATTACTGACTCACAGGTTGACAATTTTGACAGCCCACATCCATTAAATCTGCTCACGCAAATTCCCAGTACTTCTATACCATATCATCTGATTTCTTTGGCTACATGGGCAGCCTTCGTAGCCTTATATATTGTACGTACACTCCAAGTCAACATTTTTATTATTCTTGCTTTCATCGAAAGTAGACGACATATCGGCGTGTGTTGGTAGCACAGCGGTTAGGATGCTCGCCGACCATGCATATGGCCCGGGGTTCGATCCCCGACCACAGACGCACTCCTTTACCTCGCTAAGCTAGTAATAGAGAACTGGCAAAGAGGAAAGGTTGGGCATGAAGCTAGCAAACTCATCCTGTAAAAATAATAAACACTGCTAAAGAAACTTCAAGTCTCTAGCTTGAACCCTATGTTCCACTGGAAACGTGGAGGAATAAAAAAAGAAGACATATCGGCTGACAGATTGGCTTCCCCAACGCTTTCACCAGTCATTCACTGTGTTATTTCGCCTCTCCGATTCCAATGAAGAATGAGTTTTTTTGTATAGTTTTTGTATTTTCAATATTTTTTTATTATGCATTTAAGTTTCTGTACCAGTTTGATTGATTTTCCGGGATAGGGTCGCTAGTCCTAACCCCAACCCTTCATATAAGAATAAAACTTGGGCACTGTGGTAGAGTGTAATTCCATTATGGGTAAATTTTTATTTTGATAGAGTCTCACAGTGTTATACAGTAATATTTACTGATGACGTTTCGAGCACAAACTATTGCTCATAATCATATCCAACCAATCATACCCAACCCTTCATCTTTTCCCGAGCTTAGGACCAGCTAGAAAATTAGGGAACCAGTAAACTAGGCAAGGTAAAGAAAAAAATGCACTGAAACTGAAATAAACGAAAATGTAGGGAAAGGAAAAAAAGAGGAGCTTTCTTTCCCTTTTGTTACCTAAAACTCTCAGCCTAACCTAATTATTACTGTCGATAGTATGCCAGCTAACACAAGAAAGTAAACACGGACACGTACAGTCAAAGGCAACTAGCTTCCTAATATCTTACAACATTAAAGATCAAGTCTCACACCAGTTAAGTAGGAAGGGGAGGAAACTGCTGCTGACTGACTGGTTTCAACACAGAACTTTGCACAGAAGTGCACAGGTCGAGTTGCCACTCTCCCTCCTTGTAGCACACAGAGCAAGAGAAGACAGTAAGCAGAGATTATTACTATTATTACTATTTCTACTTAACTTTATTCTCCAAACAATTTAGGCTTTGTTAGAGGATCTTATAATGAGCTGACATTAGTTAGAGAACCAGTGGAAAACCCGCATTGAGTACTGGTCAGTTGTTTCGTCCTAGTTTGAGACCCTTCATCAGTACACACCCACCGAGGTGATTGATTACATATATTTTCGTCTAATTCTACTTCGATTAATTTTTAAAATATATAATATAGACACGTAGGTTGGTATAAAAATGTATGAAATAGTAGACGGTGGGCAGTTCATTATAGTCATAAGGGTTGTTCGTTTGTGCGTCTTTTTATGCATGCATGTATGTATGTATGCATTGATTTTTATCGCCATTCTTACCTGCATGCATGTGCTATGCATGCTTGAATTGTGAGTTAGTGGAGTTGATTTTCTAGCTTTTCTATCTGTAGAGAATTGAAAACTAAATTCATCTATCCAGACTTGAAATGACATCATTTTGATGATGTCACTACAAAAGCAATGAGTCTATATTTATTAAAGTGTGTCACAATGCATACTGTATACATACAAACTTAAGCGCTGGCATAGGTGTTCGACAAATTGACACTTCTTACTTCTGCCTTGCGATGATATTTGGACGTAAAAGTTGTGAAACAGAGACTGTCGTACTACTGTGGTGAGAGCTGGCTGCTAGCCAAAGTTGGTAGACAGTAATTCACGTCAATGTTTATGTCCCCAATATTGGTGGTGAGAAAATGATGAGAACAAAGGCTTTGCGTAGGCAGGCGGATACAGTTAGCACATGGATGATCTGACACAGCCACAAAGAGATGCAAGGTTAACACGTTCTGTGAGAAACAACTAATCAAAAGACTGTATTTTCTACTAACAATAATCTACAATAATGGACATTAAAATCTATAAATATATGTTGAATTTGCTTAATAAACGATCTGTTGCCTGGCCCATGTCTTCTGTTGTTACACTACTACTCCATTTTAGTCTGTGTTACAATTGTACCTTAAGCTGACATTTAAAAAAAAATTATTGATAATTAATATATGTCATCAAATTAAACATCAGGTTGAAGAAGGTAAGGCAGTAACTCATCGAAGAAAACATTGAGAAGTGGTTGTGCTTTGCCATGAATTGGCAGAAGTTAGAATTCATGGACTGGCTGGCCATTGGATCGGGTCCCAGTGGCTGTGAATGGTCCACGAGCTCGCCAGCCTTGTAACCTGGAGGTCCTGGATTCGAATCTTCTGTGGTGCGGGTGCGTACTGCAGAAGAGTCTCAAACTAGACCGGCGAAACAGCTGTATAGTACTCCCTGTGGCTAGTTTTCCAATGGTTCTCTAACTCATGTCAGCTCATGCAATCAAACAAAATCCCTAAAAAAACAAATACTTGAAAATGAGGAAATAGGCAGAAAATAAAAATCTTTGTTGTTAAATGAACATATGTCAACCTTTAGAAAAAGGGATAAAAAAAGGAAAAAAAAAGATAACGAGAAATTATGTCAGAATATTTTTATCACTAGCAAAATCGTTGGTTGGTTGGTGTGCTTACATATAGCCAAATACATACATATACACAAAATAACTTATTTTGAAAGAAGAAGAAGAAAAGAAAGAAAGAAAAATTTCGAAATAAATATGAAAATAATTTCTATGTTTATATTAGTATAACTGTTATTATTATTAATATTAGTCGTAGTAGTAGTAGTAGTGTTAGGGATTTACAAGTTAACGTCTGTTGTCCTCGAACGTTTTCGCATGTACTTTTTGCTGTGTTTTTCTTCTTTTTTTATCATTGTCAATGCTAACATTCCTTGTTATCATCACTAGTAGACAAACACACATGAAGTCAGTCACTTACGTGTTGTTTAGTCAAAAACAAACAAACAAACAAAATAAACTGAGTAGAACAAAAATTTTCAAGTATTGGTTTTGTAGGGGTTTTGTTTGATTGCATGAGCTGACATGAGTTAGAGAACCATTGGAAAACCAGCCACAGGGAGTACTGGACAGCTGTTTCGCCAGCCTAGTTTGAGACTCTTCTGTAGTACGCACTCACACCACAGAAGATTCGAACCCAGGACCTTCTGGTTACAAGGCTAGCGAGCTCGTAGACCATTCAGTAATCACTGAGACCCCATCCAATGGCCAGCCAGTCCATGAATTCTAACTTCTGCCAATTCACGACGCAGCGCGACCACCCCAGTGGGTGCGCACTGATGAAGAGTCCCAAACTAGGACGAAAGAGGTGTCCAGTACTCCCTGTGGCTGGTTTTCCAATGGTTCTCTAACTGATGTCACAGCTAATTATGGAATCCTCCAACCAATCAAACAAAATTCCCTACAAAACCAATACTTGAGAGTTAACCTGATGCTCATTAACGACTGGCCCTAATCAGGCAGTTAGTTACCTGGGGTTCTAGTGAGAAGCCGTTACCAGTAGGGTGTAGCAGGTTGAAGGTGAGGCAGTAACTCATTGAAGAAGACATTGCGAAGTGATCACGCAATGTCATGAATCGGCAGAATTTAGAATTCATGCACTGGCTGGGCATTGGATCGGGTAGCCGCTACTCGCGGCGGGGTGGGGGTGGGCTACTGTGAACCACCACACCTCCACATAAATCAATCAAAGTACAGAATATACAAAAATGTATAATGAAAGAGAGCAGAACACAAAAAGTCAGCTTACTTGATTGTAAAGTCTGCATTGTAGAGTTATTAGGACATACATTTTGTTGTTGTTGTTGATTCTGTGAATGACTATGCGGTTGTTGCCTTTGATGATGATGATAAAGTTGACGATCTGTTTGCTGATGATGATGATTTTGACGAAGTGGTTGTTGTGTACTTTCGAATGATGAATTGATAAAACTAAATGTCGGTCGACAACAACAAGTGGAACAATCTCCTTGTTCTTCACCGATGATGTTATTACCACCACTATTCATCATCACTTGGTGTTGCTGTTGTGATTGTTGTTGATGGGGAGGAGGATGTTGAGGGTGATGAGAAGACGACAGTAGAGCAGGAGAAGACATCTGTTGTTGGTGGTGGTGCTGGAATCTTGGTAAAGTATCATTATTATTACTAACACTTGTTCTCTTCTGTGATAAATTCATTAAACGATCACTCACAGTATAGGATAAATTACAGTTGCTATTCTCATTATTATATGTAGTAGTATTATTCGACTTCATAAGCATCATATTATTCATATTTATGATATGATTATTATTGTCTATTATAGTTTTATCCTGTGCACCGACACAAATGGAGGAGGATGCCGCCTTACAAGTGTTAATACCACTAACACCACTACAATTGCTAGCACCAGGATTATTCATATGAGCAGGAACAACACTAGATACACTGGCATTACTATCATTATTATTATTATTATTACTATAGATTGAATTAAATAACAAAGAATCTTGAAATTGTGATAAATCAAACCGATTAGCATCAAAGCAACACATTGAAAATTTGCTGGTATCATTACGCTCTTCTAGAACAACACTATCAACTAGATGATATCCTTCATTACGATTATTATTCTGGGGAAGATTACAGTCAAAATTCATGGTAGTATTAGTCACCGTTGCCGTTGTCGTTGTCAGTGGTTTCGCCATTGCTGTTGTTATCGTTGTTGATGATGACGATGTTGTTGCTGATGTCGTCTCATCCTCTGTCATCATCATCATTGTATGCATCGACATATTCATCGGTGCTGGTGTAATCGGTGAATATTGACTACTAAGACCAAGTTGTGGTTGATAATTAATCTCATTGACTAATTGTAACGGTTGTGGGATTGGACGCCTGAAACCAGATTTTGTTTGTCCACGTTGTGTTGACCAAGACGACGAAGACGACGAGGATGATACTGACGATATAGTTGAAGAGGATAAAGACAAAGACGCTGGCGAAGATGATGATGATACTGATAATTGATTTAATAAAAATGGCGATGACAGAGTGGATGTAACCGGTGGAATATGACATGGATTATTATTATTATTATTATCTGATTTCAGTCGTGATGCCTAATAACAAAACACAAAAAAAGGGATTTTGGTTATTAAATTCCTGTTGATCAAATGACGTTTCTTTAAAATACTACGATGAGTTAGGAATAAAACAGAAAAGTCACTAACATTCATTACCCACCCGTGTGTGTTGCTTGCCTTTATGACATTCTTGTCACATTGTGGTGGTGTGATACATACACAATATGTTAAGAACACAATATTCAGCGAAGAGACTCTTTTCAACAACGAATTCATTATCAAGCTGTACAATCGTATATATACGTGGTGTTTAAGAAATTACATCCGGTGAGGGAATTAGATCAAAAGTGTGAACACATGAAATAATAGTAATAATAGTATGAAATGCAATTAAAATTAAAATGTTAGTGATTATAATCATATTTAATTGGTGGATGGTGACTAGCAGTGGTGGAATCCTGGACAACGCGCATTTCGTCCTATTTGGGACTCGTCGTCTGGATGTACCTGCACTCCCAAGTCAGTGAGTGATGATGTTCCCACCGAGGCTCGAACCCAGTGCCCATAGTTTCAAACGCCAAAGCGTTATCCACTAAACCACTTGGGCCCCAAGAGCCACCTCTTGTGCAACGGGTCATATAAATTATTTCATTGAATTTTAGATTTTCCCGTCGATTGATTGGACCGAAATGCCCGGTCTCAGGTTGACATGCCGGCTTCTTGAGCAGATACTTCGACGATGTCTGGGCATTTAATTAGTATTTAATTGGTGGATGGTGACTAGCAGTGGAATCCTGGGCAACGCGCATTTCGTCCTACTTGGGACTCGTCATTTGGATGTACCTGCATTTCTCAGTGAATGATGAAGCCGACATGTCAACCTGAGACCGAGCACTTCAGTCCAATCAATCGACGGGAAAATCTAAAATTCAATTAGATTATATTCATAGTTAAATGTCAAGTAGTAAAACAATTAATGTCATATATAGAATAATGCATAAGGTGTATAGATGTTAGAAAGGGGCGCATAATTATAGGATTAGTAGGCGAATATAAAATGTTACATGACATGGCGTGAAATTTGGTAAGATAGAATTCAGTATGGTAAAATATTTTTGGATTTAGAACGACAAGTGGGACAAATGGAAGCAATTCAGATTGAGAATAGTAATGACAATGATAATAATAATAATAATCGCAGTAATAAAGGAAAGGTATATTGAATAACTAAATAAACAAAATGCATAAATAAATAAATGTCTATCCCTCTACGGCTAAAGCAGAAGTACGCACTGTACTTCTTTTGTACACAAAGGTCTGGCTTAAAGTCATGAATTGCCAAGGCGTCTCCGCTGTCTTTAGAAGTCTATAGCGAAGAAAACATAGCAAGTCAGCATGGATTCGGTAGATGATCTTGAAATTATGGTCAGGGTTGGTAGAGTGACAGAAGTCGATCAGGTGTTCTAGAAAAGAGTTTCGAACACACTTCCTGTCTCCCTTGTAAAACCATGCAGCTGGAATATGTTCTCGTATCCATGCGGAAAGCGTCCTCTGGCTGCAGCCAATGTACCTTGCTCCACAAGAGTAGGTCAACTGATATATGCACGTGGAGGCAGCCAGACGGAGAGCTTATCTTTTACAGAGATGGAGAACAACTTGCGGCTGGTGAACATAATTTGTCATTTTCCTGCAAAGAACGTCTTACTGAATGATTTAGAGAGACGGCTTTTGAGCATATCTGAAGCTTGATCACCTTTGAATTCCCAGTTCACCAATAAGGTTTTCTTTGGAACCGAGTCGGTGACCAGTTTAGACTGCGTATCTTTCGTGTTAGTGTCAATAAATCGGTTCGGATAATCGTTTTCCGCGAGCGTGACTTTTAGGAAGTCAAGTTCTGAGTCAACGCAATCAGAGCTACAAATGTGTCTTATCCTAAAGCAGAGTGAATGAATTAGGTTCCTTATCCTGGAGATAGGCATCCAAATATAAAAATTATTTAGTTGTCCATTCCATGCACCCCTTTCCAACATCTGTACACCTTATGTATTACTCTATATATGACATTAATTGTTTTGCCACTTGACATTTAACTATGATTATAATCACAAGTATTTTAATTGCACTTCATACTGTTATTAGTTTATGCATTCACACCTATAATTCAATTCTCATACCGGATATAACATCTTAAAAACCATTTATATACGATTGTACAGCTTGATAATAAATTCGTTGTTGAAATGAGTCTCTTCGCTGAATATTGTGTTCTTAATGCTACAATGGGAACTATTATATTATTGAAAACATACATTATATACCAAAGTAATGTTATTCTCACATATTCCCACAGTTCTATTCGGCATTAGCAACAGAATACAATGGATCTAATTGGACATTCTATTTGATATTGGAGACAGAATACATTTCCCACGGTTAAATACTGCATTAACAAACGAATACTACTATGTATATTTGAACATTCTATTTCACATGGCGTTCAATGTAAGCTGAAATCATAAGCTCGGTGATTGATTGGTTAACGAATATAAACTGTATAGATATATATAAACAGCGGTTTTATCACTGGAATATATACCTTTGCTTCCGTGTCTTGTCTTCTGTTGTTACAATATCACCAACATAAGACTACAAAACCAAGTGGTGTACAACTCAGTTGTATGGGAGAAAAAAGAAAAAGCACCTACAAAAGTTGGGCAGTTTCACACAGAAATTGAAATGCTTGGGAAATGAATTGTATGCGCCTAGTCAGTAAATAACCTCAGAGACGAAGAAGAAACTTCAGGCGGATATTTAAGAGTGACTTAATCAAGATTAAGTCTATAATTGCTGATCTCAGCTGTTTATAGAGGTATAGGTCCATTGATTGTGTTCCGCAAGACATAAACGAATGCTTCCAATGATATATATATAGCCGGAGATCGATGAAGCATCCAGTTCATAGATTTTTTTTCCTTCACGTTCCCCAGTGGAACATAGGGCTTCAAGCTAGTGGCTTGAAGTTTCTGTAGCAGTGTTTATTTTACAGGAGGGGGTTGCTAGCTTCATACCCAACCTTTCCTCTTCAGCAGCATAATTTCTGGGTCAGCGAGGTAAAGGAGTGCGTCGGCCGGGGATCGAACCCCGGACCATGTGCACGGTCGGAAAGCGTCCTAACCGCTATGCCACCGGCGCACAGTTCATAGATTAAATGCAGTTAATTAGTTTTAATGACTAGAAGTGACAATGACTTCTAGTGTCTGTTTTCGACATAGAACTTTGCACATATGTGCGCCAGTTCAAGTCGCCACACTCCCTCGGATTAGCACACAAAGCAAGAGAAGAAAGTAGAAGAAATGCATAATATAGATAGTAAACAGAGGTGTCAGACAAAGGAATAGTAATAACGGAAAACCATGTAGTTTTATTGGAAATCATAATTCACAAGGAGTGGATGCATCTGCACCAGCCATTGAGAACGAAGACTTTGAGCCATGTCACCAATTGTTTCCAACCATTGGTTTTCACCGTCCCGAGGACCCCAACCAGGAAGCCAGTCTACACCTTCCTACGTGGCTGGCTTAGACTAACTGTTGTAGATTTCATTAATTGACTGGTGCCGCCATGTTTTCGTTTGACCGCCGCTAGCTCTTTTCCAGCCTGACCCTATATCAGCTAACATTACCCAATGTCGAGGAAGGCGATGACTAGGCATACGTAACACATGTCCTAACCATCTCAGTCAATGTAATTTCACAGTCTCGTCGATTGATTTCCCCTCAATGCTTTCCTAGCACTCGACGCCTAACGTCAATATTGCTCACCTTATTATACCACTTCACACGGGAGATAGAACGCAGACACTTATGATCAAAGACAACCAGCTGGTCTTCTCATGTCTTCCACTCTCAATGGCCAGGTCTCACAGTCATAAAGGAGGACGAAGCGGACTGATGAGCAGTACACATGCCCTTTGGTCGATAGTCGGATATCACGTCTACGCCAGAGACGGCGTAAACTAGCATATGCGAAACTAGCCCTCTGTATCCGCACTCAGCTGAGATTTCGTCAGAGATCAACCCGTTGGCACTAGCTGATGGTACTTCCGAAATAAGTGAAGCGGTCAACGTGCTCTACAACTTCACTTCCTATTTCTAATCTAGGAGTCGGTGTAAGTGAAATTCTGTGCGCTTACCACTATATTTGATTCTATATTCAGTATTACTAGATCAAGTATTGTTACTGCACTGCACAGAATCAAATCTATAAATTATCTTGATACGCAATCAGTTTTGACTGGTGTTTAGAAAATCGATACAATATATTGCATAATATGAAAGACAGTAAATGTATGACAACTGTATTGAACAGATTGGACAGAAGCGTCAAAGGGAGGGGGGTAATACCAAGGAGGGGGTATTCAATTCTATAGTAGAGGTATCACTTTCATTAGAGATCGTTAGAGTTTCCGGTTAATAAGTTTACACACACACACACACACATACAACATTACGTCAGTTGTAAGTTAAGAGGGTCAAATCAGTTTATTTAGAAAACGATATTTGTGACCGATATAGTTTAATGATACCTTGAACAGGTTGACAGTTTAAACAGAAAAGTAAGCAAGTAAGTCGGATGCTCCTATAAAATAAGGGGGCACATATATATATATCTGCAGGTACGTATATCTCTGTCTTAAGGGTAGCGGATACATCATTGTACACAGCATTAACTCACAAAGAATGGTAAAAAAGAAAATAAACACCTTAATAAAGAAGTAGAGTTACTAGATTGTTCTTTATTAGATGATTGCAGATAATCGTCAAGAAGCCTTCAGCTTAGGCTTCATGTTTGTTGGTACCCATCAACAAGGCGTATCTGTAACCTCGAAGGAACTCATATGCCCTCTGAGATTCGAGTCTGTATCACCCAGTGCTGCAGTCAGAGATGTTACCACTGAACTATTAGGAATCACGAGTCACCCCATGTAGGACTTTACTGGATACTTCCATTGAACACTAGTTACTTACTACCTAGTG